AGGATGAAGTCTAAGATGAACCCACTGTCTTGATTATAGGGAAGCCACTAGTGACCAATTTCTTTTGTAGGGGAATGTAATCATATTGTATTGGGTTATGAGATATAATAAGAATGCCTGTGAATATACTGTTGACTTCTCTTTCAAAAAGTGTGATAGGAAAGAGAAGCAGAGGGATTTTTGGATTAGGAAAAATTGAGCAAGTTGGTCAGAGAGAAGAAACAATCAACCTAGATGGATCAAGGGGAAGGGGATAATTGATGGACTAAAGTCCCAGAAGATGGAGTGTGGTCCCAAGCATGGGCAGGGAAGCAGTTAGCCTTAGAGAGAGCAAGAGAAACCTCCTTATCTGAGTATAAAGGTAAAGGTGCCTGAAAAGAAGTTTTGAGACCTTGAGGTCAGAGTTTAAGGAATTCATGGTTGATGGACTCTACTATCTCAGTAGTTAGAAGAGGCCAGTTCCTCTGAAGGGATTGACAAGTAGAAAAGAATGAGGAAGGGAAGTAACGTGAATGGTGAAAGAGGTTCGAAGCAATTTTATGGAGTGTGGAGTTAAGTAAAAGGACGGTGAAGGAATTTGAGAATTCAGCTAAAGTCCAGCTCTCTTTAAATTATAGTTGTGCCTGCTGTTTATCTTAATTTCAGTATTGGGGAGTCATAATTATTTATTGAGCTCTAGCTGGAGTGGGGTTCTTACTATGTGTCATAACAGCTTCATACCAGAAGGGAGTTCCCATCATTGCCCCCAGTATTGTAGAGATAAAACTAAGACACAGAAGTCAATGACAGGGAGAGGAAAGACAACACAGGTGCTAAGTGGCAGAGGCAGGCTCTGAACCCAGGCATTCTGGTTGCAGAGCACAGTACGACTTGCAGTGTACATGCCTGGGAAAGGTGGTGTGATAAGAAATTGGAGGCAGATAGGGTGGGTGGGATGTATGAAGTGTTTAGAGACCTGAGTGTGCTGATGTGTGTTCTGAAGTTATCTGAATTCAGGGAGGTAGGAAAGGAAGTAATCAAACTCTGGAGGCTGATAGGATTTTGAGAGTTGGGAGGTCAAAGAATGGGTTTAGGTGGAATTGGGTAGAGTAAAATACGGGGTGTTAAGAGTTGTGATGAGAAAGGGATTGGTCATTTGAGGGATAGCATTTCTGGTAATCCCGTGGCCACCATCTAGTCTAAAAAAATGGCTTTTTGGTTGTTTTTTTTTTAATGGCTGAGGGTAACAAGAGAAGTCTTTGGACTAAAGAAGACTGAGGGATAGAAGATCCCTTAGAACAAAGGTTTTTGACTTTACTGCTTCAGTGATGGTTTTCCTGTTTGTGATATTTTATTAATTTGACATTGCTACCTAAATAGTTTCTCTTTTAATTGACTTGAATAGTTGAGCTTTTTCTCTTTTCACACTACATATACTTACAAATTGTAATACACCTCTTATCCTACTAATTACTCCTACTTGATCTTTTGATCTTAGTAAAATATTTTAAGGTTTTCTTAATTGTTAAGCTTTAGTTACTAAGGTTAAGCAGTTTCTAGTTTAGTCATAACTAATTCAGTCAAATTAAATATTAAGATATATATATTTATATATATATATTAAGATAGTACATTTTACTATATTTGCAGTTTAATCTCTAAACAATGAGGTGAAATTCAGCAAAATCTTTTTTTTTAAAGATTTTATTTATTTATACATGAGAGACACACACATACAGAGGCAGAGACACAAGCAGAGAAGCAGGCTCCCCACAAGGAGCCCGATGTGGGAATTGATCCTGGATCCCAGGATCACACCCTGAGCTGAAGGTAGATGCTCAACTGCTGAGCCACCCAGGCATCCCTCAGCAAAATCTTTTTTAAAGAGCAGAAATAACAGAGAAAATACTGAATTTTTTAAAATAAACTTTGAGAATAATTTTAGACTTACAGAAAAGTGCAAGGTGATACAGAAGTTTCTCATAACCCCACAGCCAGTTTCCCCTTATTAACATTTTAACATTAGTAGGGTACATTTGTCACAATTCATGAATATTGATACATTATTATTAACTAAAGTCCCTACTGTATTCAGATTTCCTTAGTTTTCCTTTTTCTATCCCAGGACCCCAGCCAGGATACCACTTTACATTTAGTTGTATCTCCTTAGACTCCTCTTTGTTGTGACAGTTTCTCAGACTTTTGTTGTTTTTGAGGAGTACTGGTCAGGTGTTTTGTGGAATATTTCTCAATTTGAGTTTCTCATGTTTTTCTCATGATTAGACTTGGATCATGGGGTTTGGGGAGGAAGACCACAGAATTAAAGTACCATTCCCATGACAGCATATCAGGCCTACGTGCTATAAACATGACTTATCACTTGATGTTTTCCTTGTTTACCTGGCTGAAGTAACATTTGTTAGATTTCTCAATTTTTAAGTTACTCTCTCAATCCCACCTGCTTTCTATCCTGAACTCTGGAAGGAAGTCACTATGAATAGTTCCCCTCTTGAGGAGTGAGGAGTTATGCCTTTCCTTGTTGAGAGTGCAATATCTACAGAAATTATTTATAATTATTCTGCATAGGATATTTATCTTTTCTCCTTCAATCACTTATTCCTTCATTCATTTATATTACTATGGATTCATGGATTTATATTATACTTCGAGTGTTTTTAAAATGTTACAGCTTTTGCCATTGAACTCTTTCAGTTGGTTTCTGCTTTGCTATAACCTTTGCTATAACCTCACCATTTTGTTTTTTGAGTATTTCCTTACTTTCTGGCAGTAAAAAATATGCTGGATTCATATTGTATATTCTCTGTTCCAGCCCTAGAATCTCAAAGAGCCCTGATTCCTTTTATTGGAAAATGGTATTAGAGACCATGGTCTAGGCTCTGGGTGTCCTCATTGTTACTGGGACATCATTGTTTCTATAATTTCCCAGATAACAACTGGGAAATATACTAGCCTGTGTATACACAGCTACCTATAATTATTCTATGTCCATAAATACAGACACACACACACACACACACAATTAAGCTAAATGAATTCATACTGATGTTTTCAACTCTAACCCAGTATCATATGGCTCAATCTAGCCTCTTTTACTCACTTGTCGGTAATTTTCCACCCCAACAATGAGAAATCGGGTCCCCGCTTCACCATCAAACAAATGTACTTATTTGTTAAATCCCAATTTATATATATGGGTTTCAGAATTGCTAACTTGTTCCTCCATGACATGCAACTTTACCAACTAGAATACAGTGCTTGTGTATAGTTTTGTCTTTAGTCTTATAGCCACCATTTCCAAAGTTACTTAGATCACCTGTGTTTACCGCACTTCCTACAGTAAGGTTATGTCATATATTTGTAAAGCACTTAGATTCTTTTACCACAGTCTAGATTCTATCCTGGCACTACCAAACTGATATTTTAAAATTTGAAAAAAAAATGTGTACGCATTCTTCATGCTGTTCTGTGGATTTTGACAAATGCATAATGTCATACAGTCACTACTACAATATCATATAGAATTGTTTCACCACCCTAAAATATCTCCTCTGCTTCACTTACTCTCTACCCTCTTTCTCTCTCCCTGAACCTCTGGCAACTACTGATCTGTTTTCTGTTTTTATAGTTTTGCTTTTTCTGGGATGTTATATAAATGGAATCATACTGTGGGTATTGTTTTCAGAATGGCTTTTATTTAGTAATCTGCACTTAAGATTTATCCATGTGGTTATGTAAATTGGTAGTTTGTCCTCTTTATTGCTGAATGACATTCAATTGTGTGGATATACCACAATTTGCTTATCCATTCACCTACTGAATAACATCTTAGTTGCTTGCTTCCAGTTTTTTGCATTTATAAATAAACCTGATGTAAAAATTTGCATGTAATTTTTTTGTGTGGACATGAATTTTCAAATCAGTTGGAAAAATACCTAGGAGAGTGGTTGCTGGATTGTGTGCTATGAATATGTTTAGTGTTATAACTGACATATTGTTTTCCAAAGGGGCTTTACTGTTTTATTCTCACCAGCAATGCTTGAGAGTTCCGTTGCTCCATATCCTTGCCAGCAATTGGTATTGCCAAAATTTTGGATTTTATCATTTTTATAGATATGTAGTAGTATCTCATTGTTTTAATTTACGGTTTTCTAATGACAAATGATGTTTAACATCTTGTTCATATTCTTATTTTCCTTTTGTATATCTTCTCTGATGAGGTGTTTAAGATATTTTGCCCACATTTTAATTGGGTTGTTGCCTTATTGTTGAGTTTTAAGAATTCCTTTTATATTTTGGATACAAGTACTTTATCCTAGATGTATTTTGTAAAGATTTTCTCCCAGTGCATGGGTATCCTTTTATTTTGTTTTAACAGTGCCTTTCACAGAGCAAGTTTTTAATTTTAGTAAAGTCCAACTTAATATTGTTTTCTATGATTGTGCGTTTGGTGTTATATCTAAAGTATTATCACCAAACCCAAGATCATGAAGATTTTCTCCTATGTTTTCTTCTAGAAGTTTCATAGTTTTTCATTTTATGTTTTAAGTCTGTGGTTCATTTTTAGTTAATTTTTGGATAAAATGTGAGGTCTCTGCCTAGGTTCATTTTTCTGGATATGAATATCCAATTGTTCCAGCTGTTTGTTGGAAAAACTATTCTTTCTCTATTGAATTCCCTTTACACTGTAGTGAAAAATCGATTGAGTATATTTGTGTGGGTCTGTTTCTGGGCTAAGACTGTTGATCTGTTTGCTCTCTCACCAATGCCATGCTGTCTTGATTACTGTAGCTTTAATATAGTAAGTAAGTCTTGAAAGTGGGTAGTATGTGTCTGCCAACTTTCTTCCTTTTCAGTATTATATTGGCTATTCTAGGCCCTTTGTCTCTCTATATAAATCTTAGGGGGATATTCACTGAATTTTAAAAACTGAAAACTAAAATTAAAATGGTTAATCCTTGGAGATACGGAGTAAATGTGATGCTTTTAAAAATTTTTTCCAGGTGGTTCTTTGAAGCTCTGAAGTATCCTAAGTTTTCCAAGGCTAACGTCATCAATGGAATACTCATGACAGTGGTGTTCTTCATCGTGCGGATTGCCCCAATACCTCCTTTTTATAGTTACATGTATTCCGTGTTAGGAACAGAAGCCTACATAAGGCTTGGATTTTTAATCCAATGTTCCTGGATCTCTACTTGTGTTGTTTTGGATATAATGAATGTCATGTGGATGATCAAAATTACAAAGGGTTGCATCAAAGTCATCTCTTTCATCAGACAAGAGAAAACCAAAAGTAGTCTTCAGAATGGAAAACTTGACTAAAAGTGGGCTGTTGATATGCATACTTCAGTACTATCTGCATTATATCTACTGATAGGATGAATTCTTGGCATGTTCTTGTACTTCTTATTAATTATATTTGTTATCGAGGATTTTAATCCTTTTTTTTTTTTTTTACCTTTAGAAAAGAGAAACTAAAACTTAGATTTTATTCCAAGATTTCTTTTCTGATTTTCTTCTGCAATATAAGCATGGATAAAATCTTAAAGGTTTAAATAAAAAATTACAAATATAGTGGTGAATCTTTTCAGAAATCTGTTAACCTGCATTGGTATTTTTCTCTGTGGAAAGATGACTATGCTAATTGGGTGCACTTAGTTTTATGTCACCAATTTTGCTGAAAGAATGGGAACTGCTTTTAAATTTGTAAATAGCTCTCAACATTTTGTTGTACTGCACTCACTTCTTACTATGGCTATCAATACCCGTGTAGGGTTTAATTTCTAAATTGTTAAAATGTTCTTTTTCTTAGGCTATTAGAAATGATGTATATTTTGTTTAGCTATGTTATCATCTATGAATGATAAAATATTTTTGCTTATTTTGGGAATATTTAATTACTTCAGTCACAGAAAATACTTTAATTTTTAGATTTTTCAGACCACTTTATTTCTATTTTTAACATTTTATCAAAGTATTGCTTTTTTATTTGTTGTAAGGCTTAAGATAGGTCTTACAGAGCCCCTTAAGAGATGAATTCCTCTTTCTAAAAATGCATGTTACAGATAATTATTTAGGCTGATGGGAGGAATTATTAAGAAAAAAGCTTTAACACTGCTGTCTCTGTTTCCCTTGCACTTTTTCCATGAAAAATATAACCTTTCTATTTGCTCTATTTGCAAAACCTCCCCTAAGTTCAGAACCCAACATCATCAGTACCAAAGTGTTATGCAGTATCTATCTGTCACGCTCCTAACGTAGGCCTCTTAATGAGAACAAAACTCCAAAAGAGTCAGAATTCATATTTTATTCACAGTTTACACCCATACTTAACCAACATTTTGAGTGCTTTGGACATCTGTCTTTCCTAAAGGACAGGAAAAAAAATAGACAATTTAATCTAAATATTCTGATTTTTAACATCCTTCTCCCGTGTGGTGATAAATGGTTGGTGACTCCCGTTTTTTGGGTTTTGGGGTTTTTTTGTGTATCTTGTAAGTATATGTTAACTACTTCTTTGATTCTTACAACCCAAATATAGAATTATAATAGTTAACTATTATTGCCTTTATTTTTCTCAAGTACTTTAATGATTGTTCTCACCTAAGGAAGAAATTTAATCAGTGACAGCTGCTTGAATTTAATTGAGCCCAACCCAAAAGATCTAATCCACTCAGTTTCTCAGCTGGTAGGAGAATGATTTCCTTTCATTGTCCATGTTATGATGGTGAAGGGAGGCTGGCTGGATAGATCAGACTGATTTGATCTGATTTGATTTGATTTGGCTGTTTAATCCAGAGAGAGCCTGATAAGTTTTAGAACATTTAAAGAAAGTAACTGAAATCTCCGTCAATAACTCAATGAGAAAATCAAATTTATTGGCTTATAGTTAAGTACACTTATTTTTGAAAGACAAAGTAATGTATAGGTGTTTGTTTTTAAAGCTACTAATATTAAATTGATAATTTGATACCAATTTAGTGCCTTTGACATCACAGGCACTTAAATGTGTATTGGTTGTTTAGAGGGAGTAGGAAAGCACATGGTTTTATCTTGTTCTTTTCTTGCTCTTTTGCAAGAAAACTGGATTTTTAAGTGGAAAATATTTATATTAGAAAACTATTTTGGAAATTAATTCCTTTAAAAAGAAACAAAAATTGAAGTAAATATTTTTGACTCTTGGGATATTTCTATAGTTTCTGAACACAGATTTTAAATCCACCATCAAAATGAAGACAATATAAAGCAATATATTGCAATGTATTGTAATATAAAGCTCACTGATAAGTGAGTTTCCATATAGCAGTTTCAGTTTTTATAGTTGCAATTTCATGCTTAAAACTTTATTTTTGCTTTCATTAACAGCACTTTTCATTAGTATAGCTACTCACAAAACAAGTGTTTAAAATACAATGTTTTGAACCAAAGTTCACTATTCCCTTTAGTCAGCAAATCTTATTTTATGCTGGCTGCATGACAGCTAATTCAACATCCAGATTCAATATCCAAAAGTAGAAGCTACATATTTCCTTGTACAACATGCATGAAATGGAAAAGACACTACAAACTGCCATACTACTTTAAGTCAGATCTTTACAGGAGCTATACTTTGCTGTTCTGTGATTGTATCCACCTACCTAAGATACAAGGAGTTAAAGACAGAACATATCATTTATTAAACGATGAATTTTTCATTTATTAAATGACTAACTTTTGCTAGACATTTTACATATTAAGTATTTTGACTGGATTAATTTAAATAATTCTATTAGGCATTCTGAATTTAACAACTATTAAAATATTTGTAGAAAATAAAAGCAAATTGGTATAAATTTTTAAGCAATTCTATTTTTATAGAAAAAGATTAGTGACAAACCTGTAACTATAAAGGTGTTCTTTGAATGTGTAGTCTAAAAAATAAAAATTCTTACAAAATTTTGAAAGTGAATGAAAATCAACTAAATAGCATGCAAGATCATAGATTCTGCGTCTGTTATTTGGGAGAATTTAAAAATTATGAACTTGAGTTTGTAGAATTTGCACTCTTGTGTCTGAAATCTTTCTAGTAAGTATTGTTTGCATTTATTTAAAACTCAAAATGGAGTTATATAAGTGCAAAGAAATTAACTCATGTGTAACTTGTGTCTTGATGCCTTATGGTAAGTTAAGATGTAATTTTTATTTCAACTGTTTAGTTTTGTTGTTTCATGGGCTAGTGCTATGTTTGGAGAAATAATAATGTCTTTACCATTCCTAAGGGTGATTGATATACCGAGGATGCCCCAGTACTATTGTAAAGGTCTTATTTTTAAAAACTGCCTAGTTTATAGGTGTTTGAATCAAATTCTTTTCTAAATTTTAATCTGTTTGGCTCGACTTCTTGCTAAAGTGTCAGTTTCTAAATTGTACACTTTCTCTGAGGTGCATTGGGTGTTCGGAGAACGATTCTTCACAGATGTAAGGGCCAGCTTTACAGCTGGTTACACCTTTTGTCATCATGCATCAGAAAAAGTCCTGTCATGGAGATATATAGGGGAAGTGTAACATTCATGTTTGTTCTGTTTCATTTTTTAGGGAAATAAACATGTTCCAAAAGACACTATTAAAATAAATGTTTGAACAAATTTCAGTTTCTAGGTTACTGCTAACTCCAATGTGTAAATATACATATGAATCAGCTTTCAGTGGTCTAGGCTATTGCTTAAAATTGAAAAGTCCATGTTAATTGTGGACATCATAGTTTTACTTTATGGAAGACTATGTATCTATCTGTGTGTCTTGGGTTCCAGATGAAGTGCATATAACTTTATCAGAAATGTGGCACAGCATTTCTCCACCAGTATGAACCAACACAGCAGTGAGACCCCTCCAGTGTTTAGAGATCCTGGGCACACAAACAAACTGCCCAGCCTTAACCACAGCTAGACTGATGACAGGCACAATCCCTTAAAGCTACTGCAAGGGATTTTTCACACGAAGCATATGTGGCATGTGTGAGAACAATGAGAAGCCAGCAGGACCTGGAGTTGGAGACACCATGACTGATTTTCCTTTAAAAGGCATGATGTCCCTTCCTCATCTAAACGTTGTTCTCTGAATTCCTTCAGCCCTTCCAACTCATCCTCCTAACACCCTTAAGACTATGCCAGCACCTTTCAACTTTTGAGGCTTCCCCATACCTGTAAGTGTTCTGTTCTGTTGTGGCAAATTTCAAAGTTTTCAAGTACGTTTTTCAATTGAAAAAAAGCATTGCAATACGTTTAAGTAGAGGTCAGCAAACCATAATTGCTAAGAGGCTATCAGAAGCCATTTAGTACTTAATACTTGTTACAAGATGAAACAAGGCTAATAAGGTTATGGTTTTATTGAGAAAAACATCTGTAGTCTCTTTCTTAGACTGGCTTAGCAGTAAGAGCTTTATATATATTTCAGCTATGGATTCATTGTAGACCTATAAATTATCTAAATGCTCTTCCTTAGACCCCATGGCAGGAGGAGGAACTGAAGTAGCTCTGTGTTATGAGGCCGTTAGGAGGAGGGGCTGCCGGTGTGTGGCAGCATTACTGGGTCCTGCTCTTTAACTGAGCAAATTTAGTTATGGTCATGTTTCTTTTAAAAACAAGCTTACCAGCAAGTGGATTACTCAGCATGTTTTACAAGTGCAACACCCATGGACTAGAGCCCTATCCCTCTCTAGCCCCGGCCTCAAACTGCCTGTACCAGCCTTGATATTAAGTTGTACCTTTATTTGAAGATGTTTTGGATAGCAGTGGAGAACTGAAGGCTAGCTGCTAAAATTGGTTTGCTTGCATTGAAAATGTTTACACTGAGTCCCTTGCTACACCATAAACCATGAACCATTTGTTTGCATTGAAAATGTCTACAGCAAACTGGACAGTTTTGATATCAGGCCCTATATTTAAGACCAAAAACAATGAGAAGTATTTCTAAATCTTAAAGATATAAATACAATACCTCTGGCTGAAAACTCGTTAATCATCATCTGTATATTTTTTCTTTATATCTTTACCTAATTTTTTCTGTAATTAAGTGTGCATTAGGTATTTGCTACTTCTTGGTTAATGAAGCCTAAAAATATAACTGTAAATAAAATATGCTATATATTTTTCTGTTTCTTGCTTGGTTTGCTTCTAGTATCATTATGTCTACTTTCTACTTAAAGAATTTTTGCATAGATGATACTCTTACTAGTAACTAGAATGAGTTATGAGTATTTTTGGTAATTATTAGAATTTATAATAACTTTTAGACATGGATTTCATTTGAAAAAGCTACTTGGAAATTGCAGCAAATGTGATAACTCTAGTGATACACAAAATTTTTTTCTGGGAATATACATTACTATTTAATTGTTATAAAGATTTTGGAAGTCTTTCAAAATACATTTAACATTTTGAGAAACACACCTTCTAATTTATTTCCATAAGGCTGAATGAAAAACTCTTATTTACAAAATGTGAGACTTGGTAATTTATAAACAAGTGTTATTCAGATTTATTAGCAATTCAAATAGCAATTTAGTATTCTTTGGTCATTGGTTGTGCTTAATTTGAAGGGGATTAATTAATATCTCTAGGTAATTCCCTTAAAAATGTTAAATGTTTATATATTTTATTTGTATGTGTGCCAGTTCAAAGTATATGCAAGTTCTAAGCAATAATCTGCATGTTACACAAGGTTGGCCTTCCTTTGTCATGACAAATTTTATTTGATCTTGATTTTAAGAATGTGTATAAAATCAATATCCTATATATATAAATCGTCCCTCCTCCCAATGAAAACCGTGAAATTTTCCTGTGTTAGAACACTAATGTGGTGCAAAGCTTTGTATTTTGTGGGAAAAAAATTAATAAAATCACAATTATTTAGTGCAAAAGTCTGAGTCTGCAAAGTGTACATTTTCATAGTAATTGATGAATAGATGATAAAAATTACTTTCCTCAAATCTCTTCCAGCTCTTGAATCCTAAAGCTAATATTTTTCTTCAAGATGTTTGTAGAGCTTGTTTACCCTCTTCCTTCCCTTTTCTCCCTGAGGTCCCTGCCTTATAACAAACCAGGAGGGGAAGCAGGCATTATAGTCATGCTTGTTGATGGAAGGAATGGTGCTATCTAATCCATAGGCTCTTTCAGATTAAGTAAAACTTTTGCAGTTATGTTTTTAATCTCCTTCCTCGTGTTCTTTAGGCCTCTCATGTGGTCTCAAGTGTTTTTTGCCAAATGTCTTGGCTGGAGTTTCTCCCTTCTCAAATTGCCCATGTCTTAATTTTGCATCTTGGTCTGAGAATATCCAGTAGATCAGGAAGCAGAAAGCTAATTGAATAGAATACTGAAGTGGCCTTTGGAGAGAGTACCATGAGTCATGCTTCAGAACATGCCTAAAATGTTGTGTCAAGACTGGCAAAGGAACAGCTGAATTTCAAAATTAAAATAGCAGCCACAGCTGTTAGTGCAGACAGGCCACAGGTAAAATTACAAGGATTCAGAACTGCTCTAAGCAAGTGTAAATGGGTGCTCTCTCTCACACCTCAGCTTGTTTCAAAGATGAGCCACCCGTCTTTTTTTTTCCTAGTCTTTACCAAAGTTAACTTACTGCGTTCCCTCCTTGTTGATGGTTCTTAACTGCACAGAATAAGCAAGTTGGCAAGTTTGCAATTTTCCCCTTTCTAGTAACTGATAATCTGTTCCTAGATGCTTCTCATAAATTGGACTCTTCAAATAAGGTCTATGCACACCGAATCTACTTGAGTAGCCCATTGTTGCAGCGCTCCTAGGCTTGGAGCTTGACTCCCCTATTGGCTAAATAGCCCCTTCCTCTTTTATCTATCTCCAGCTAAATTCTGCTACATCTTGTTATGTCATTTTACCAAATCATTAGTTATACCATTTCAGAAATTATCTAAGCAGAACTTTCAAAGAAGGGGACTTGTAGGGAGAAATGAAAAGTAATATGGATTATAGGCTGCATTTTTATGGAGGATAAAGTTCAAGGATAGATAGAAATTTGGGAAGAATGACATAGAAAAGTAGAGATAAAAGATCTCAAGGAATAGGAAAACCAAAATAAGAACATGCTCTGTAGGTAAACATTGCATTTGGGGTAACATGAACCCATCAAAATGAATATAGTGAAATTCATGTGCACATTACAAGAATGTCTTCATTAAAATGCAATGTAAGCATTCATTATATGTGCCTTTTTTCTTCAAATGTTTATTTAAATTCCAGTTAACATGCAGTGCTATATTGGTTTCTGGTATACAGTTTATATATCACAAGCGCCGTCCTTAATCCCCATCATTCATTTAACCCATCCCCCTGCCCAAACATTGGTTTTGTTTCTTAAATTTCACATGAGTGAAATCATATAGTATTTGTCTTTATATATATATGTATATATATGCAGGTATGCTGTATGACTGTGTGTATCTATCATCTATCTTGGTAGTGTGCCACCCACTGCTGACAGATGTCTCCGTGCAGAGGCAGGAATGAGGGGCCACCCTCCTGGAGCAGTGATTTTAGTGGACTGTCTGAGCCTGCAGAAGACCCCAAGTCCAAATCTGTTGTGATTACAAAACACCCAACTGTGCCCGACAGTTAAGCTTTGTGAAATAATTTGTGTTGTCAGACTCATCATGAGAGGTTTTAGAAAATGAAGTTTTGAAAGTATACTGTGTTGTGGACAGAAAGGATGTACGAATGGATATGGCACAAGACAGTAGGATTTTGTTTGAATTGTAAATTAGGAAAGAGCAATTTGCAGAGTGAAGTATCCAAGGGCCAAAGGTATTGGTGAAAAAGTATCTTAATCTCTGTGAGTCTTAGTCTTGTTATCTGTAAAGTTATGTTTTATGTATCTCCTGACTTTCCTTCCAGCTCTCCTATCCTATTAGTAAGAGCTTTTACTTGAAACAAAGCAATTACAACAGAGCAAGTATAGCTTTAAGGCTTAGTGATGTGATTGGAATGGCATCCGAGGGAGATTCTCAGCGTCAGATGAATGGGAGTACAGAAATAGGCTAGTGATGGAGAAATTGGCCAAGCAACTGCAAAGTGGTTAAGCCTGATGCATGGCCTTGGACAAGGAAGAAAGACAGAAGGGCCAGATCTGCTAAATATTGCAAAGAGAGAACCAGAGGGCTTTAGAAAAACTGAATATTACTCACGAATAAAGCTGCGGAACTGAGAGGTGACAGATGCCACTGGATGTGATGTCAGAACATGGGGAGCCGAGGACTCAGCAAGATGTTGGAGAATGGCAACAGCTCTTCGGAGATGCTGTGGATGAGAGGAAAGAGGGAAGTCAAGGCCTCAGGCATTTTCTATACATGAGGAAAGGCAAAGTACAGTAGTTGGAAGAGCAGAATGGAGCCTGTGGTAAACTTTTAACATAATGGCCACTTGGAGAATTCATTCTGGGGGAAAGAAATGTCTCAAAGTGCCTCACTATGGTGACTTGCATTGCTTTTCTCATGTCTGAATAATGGTCTTGCCCTGAACCCTCGTATTTGTGTATTCAAGATTCCTGAGTGTCACTGACCCATAGTTTCCCCACAGCCCTTTCAGGTCTGCTGTCTGTCCTCGTGACTCAATGCTGCCCATGGTGTCAGTCCAGCCCTCTCTCGTCAAAGAGCTTGAGTAAAGTTTAGAGAGGATGACTAGAATATAAGGCCCTTCTGGGGAGTCTGGCTGCAGGTCGGTAGTTGGAGACTGCTGCAGACAGCTACAGCCTTGTGGAGGGGTTTGACTGCCTAGGAGAGGTGGTCATTGGATGGTGAGGGTGGAGGGCAAAGTTCAAAGCAGACAGCAGAAGCCCACGTAACCTGGAGCAGGTTCAGGGAGGCTGTTGTCAATGTGTTAGGTCTCCAGTTTCTGTGTCTGAATTGCTAGGAAGATGTCATGGAGAACACTCTAAATCGTTCCCTCTTGGACTGCTATACAGTCTCCTAATTGGTCTTTCCCAGTATACACTACCTCCCTGCCCATCTGTCACACATGCTACTGACTCATTTTCGAACACATCCTCAATATGTGTCACAGCCCTGATCTGAATTTCTGAATATTCTGAGTAAAATACTCCCAAGTCTAAACTCCTTCAACCGAATTTAAAGTTCTTGGTGATTTTACCCTATCCTATCTATCTAACTTCCAGCAGGTTGGTTCTGCTATCTGCACCTGTTCATCCAAGCTGCATGCCTTTGCACTTGCTATGCCTCAAGTTTGGAAACCCTTGCCTCTCACAGATCTGTCACCTACTTTAACCTCAAGACATATTAAGAAAATTCTTTTTTTTTTCTCCACTAAAAACAAAACACATTCAGGTGAAGTGGAGAATACATTTATTAAATCATGTTCCTTTATATATTTTTAAAAATATTTTATTATTTATTTATTTATTTATTTATTTATTTATTTATTTATTTATGAGAGAGAGAGAGAGACAGCAAGGGGAGGAGCAGAGGCAAAGGGACAAGCAGACTCCACACTGAGTGCAGAGACCAACTTGGGGCTCAATCTTAAGACCTTGAGATCATGACCTGAGCCAAAATGAAGAGTTAGACACTTAACCAACTGAGCCACCTGGGCACCCCAAATCATGTTAATATTTATTAAGCACTGGTTAGATTGCCAAGAGGTCTTCTGGAACAACCAGGATAAATAAATTCATTCTTTACTGAGCCTGGATCCCAGAACTTTCTGTCCTGGGGAAGCTTCTATGGCCATAGCCAAGCTGTTATGTTTTCTCTCAAAGAAATTAGTTCATCCACTCCCACTGGCTGGAACAAGTAGTGGGAGCTCAGCCCTCCTCAGGCTTTTGCACAGACTTTGTTATTTTGAGTAACATGGTGGAAAGACTTGATCTGGGAGTCTGAAACCTGGATTCCAGTTCCAGCTTACCACCTACTTGTGACCTGTGTAGGCGAGTGTTCTCACCTTCTTGGCATTTGTTTTCACCTGTAAGGTGAGAAGTTCAACTGGATGAATTTAAGGCTCCTTTTCTTTCAAGTTCATCATTCTATGATAAGAGTAATTAAGGGCAGTCCTGGTGGCGCAGCGGTTTAGCACCACCTGCAGCCCAGGGCATGATCCTGGAGTCCCGGGATCGAGTCCCACATCAGGCTCTCAGAGTCTCTGCCTCTCTCTCTCTCTCTGCATCTTTATGAATAAATAAAATCTTAAAAAAATTTTAAAAAAAGAGTAATTAAAATCAAGGTTGGGGTATATAGCCCAGGTTATGGCAAGCTAATTTCTGTCAGCCAGCAATTCTACAATATTGGTTTCAGTTGCTAAGTTTTTGGAGGTGGCTTAAATTCTAATTTTGATTGTAACTGTGTGCCCTTGAGTAAGGCCCCTTGTTTATGACTCCATCTTCCTCACTTGTAAAAGGAGATGGTATCACTTGCAATCGATGAACCTAGCCAAAAGAGTCTGAGAGTAATATTTGCTAAGTGCTTCAAGATTCTTCAGGAAAAGAGATAAAGTTTTAATGATGTACTTTCCCACTATACTTGAAGCCAAGTTGATTTTTAAAATACTCTTCCTAGTGTTAACCTCTGAAAGATATAAACATCTCCATTATGGTATCCAAACTGGAACCCCTTTTCTTTATTTCCCACAAGAAAATATAATCAGAAAGGAAAGCAAATGACTAATGAAAATGTAAACAGTAAGTTATTTATTCCTTTCTCACCAAAACAAAAACTCTGAATCCTCCAATTATCTTGAGAAGCAAGTCTACCACAAATGGGTCAATTACCTTGGTTGACTCAGTACTGGCTAATCAGACTTTCCATAAGATTGTTGTGTTCTTAGTAACTTTAAACGTAGTCTGCTAGGGTTATGTGGTGGCTCTGTGCAAAGTCAAGGCCAGGATGAACTGGGATGGGGAAACTATTCTGATGACCTTTGTTGTCTGTGAGTTAGTTGAGTGGTAAACTTAGTTGTTTCTTGTAACTTTATTGGTCTTTGGCTGACTGATAATGGAATTATCTATAGAAAGATCCACTCTGGATTTTTACAATCAGTAGATGGACTCTCTAAGACACCGTGTCACGAAGAAAAGTAATGAAATAAGTAAATCTGCATTGCTCTAAGGAGAAAATGTGAATGATTCCTTAGCATTCTAATGAGTAAAAATAAATGCTAATTAGGATTTATGTTCTAAAGAATGGAGTGAGAAAATGGATGTGCCAGTATGTTAATTTTGTTCTTTAAAAATGACTAACCCAAAAACTTTTATAACTTGGACCATTCTTTTTAGAAAGGCATCTAAACTGTGTGTATTGAAAACGTGAACCCAAAAAGAAGTCTACTCTCCGCTGTCCATTCCCTTCGTGACTCTCCAGTCATTAGCTTAAACTCTTAAATATCCTTATCCCAGATCTAACCAAATGCCTACATTTTGTATATTCAACTCAGGATCCAGAAATCTGCTGGAAAATCATTCAACTCTGTGTAATTGGAGCCACCACAAATTCATGGAATCGGTCATTCACTTTAAAAACATTGACACTTTAGGTACCAGGTACCATGAAAGCACAGGGTATATAAATATGGTGAACAAAACTGTCGAGGCCTTCTTGACAGGGAGCTAGAAGGGAGAGGTAAGGAGGAGGAAAGCATATATAGGTCAAGTGACTCTGTGAGCCCTGTCTTTCCTCTTTGATCTCAGATCTAGCATAGTGTTTCACATATAGTAAATCATGCAATCAAAAAAACATCTAGTCAGTACTTACTATGTGCCAGGCTCTATTTTAGGCTCTAGAGGACATCGTGAACAAGGTAGACACAGAAGACTCCGCTCTCTTAGAACCTACATTCTAGCCACTGGAAAACAATGGTAAACAAACTTGACAAAAAGCAATAAATATACAAGGTAATTTCAAGTAATAAGTGCTGGGAAAGAAAGAATAACAGTGGGGGGTGGGGAGGGCACACCTGAGTGGCTCAGTCAGTTAAGCGTCTGCCTTCAGCTCAGGTCATGATCCCAGAGTCCTGGGATCAAGCCCCACATTGGGCTCCCTGATCAGTGGGAAGCCTGCTTCTCCCTCTCCCCACCCCTTGCTCATGCTCTTGCACATTCTTACTCTCTCAAATAAATAAATAAAATCCTAAAAAAAAAAAAAAAAGAAAGAAAGAAAAGACAGTTGGGATTGGGAGGCATTTTGGAAAGGCTACTTTGTAGAGATGACCCTTGCACTAAGATCATGTGGAACATACAGGTGTTGTGATGAGCACATTAGGTAAGGGAAATAGCAGGTGCAAAGTCCCCGAGGTATAGATACTTTGGTATGTTTCATATAAAGAAAGCCACTGTGACTGAAGTATGTTTAGTAAGAAGAGGAGAGAAAGATGATGCGGTCAGAGAGGTATACAGGCACAGATCACATTGGGTTGTTAGGCCATTGTAAGGTTTTTGGCTTTTCATCATGCTGAGAGTAAGAATTCCAGGTTTTAAGCAGTCCAGGGGAAAAATGATGTGGGCTTACATGCAGGCTTTCAAACGTTTTTTAGCACGATAGCCAAGAAGACACATATTTTATATGGTAACTCAGTACATAAACACATATGCATAAACAAAAATTTCATGAAGCAATCCCTTTAACCATGAGTGATGCACTCTGAGATTTGCTATTTGATTTCACTGTAAAAGAAGAAATACTGGTTGTCATCCACTAAACTGATTTCATAACTCATCAATGGGTTGCAACTCACAGTTTTTGTAAAATGCTGGTTCAGTCTAAAGTGCTGACAGTAGAGATGGAGAAAAATGAACAGATTCAGGGTATATTTTAGAAGTAGAGTTGACAGTGGTTATTGATGGATTTGTGGGGAGGTAAGGAAAAAAGCCTGATAAACAATGATTTTCTATGATTTTGGCTTGAACAATGGGAGGATGTTCCTATATCCTGAGAGGGGGAAGACCAAGGAAGGAATATGTTTTACGGGAAGGGTAGAAAGAAAATCATTAAATTTTCTTTAAAGACTGAATAATTCCAATTATATACATTCATGTACATACAGAATATTTGTAATATTACTTGCTCAAATTATAAGCCAACAAAAATTTTTGTGTAGACTCTTGAAAATACTTTAAAATTGTTAATTTTATTTTCATCATAGAAGCAAAGCCTGCTTACTAAAATAAAAGAGAAAGAAATGGGATCCGTGGTCTAGCCACATAGAAATGACCACGATTATTTGTTTTAATGTTTTCTTAATGTAACTTTTTCTATGGATAATGATAATTATGGTAATTGATGTTTAATAATTGATGTTTAATGTTAATTGATGTTTATTTTTATAATGAGGTGAATTTAATGAGAAACCCAGTGAATTAGTCCACTGTTTCTGAAACTTTAAATATCTATACATATGATCACATCATATCTTCCAATCAGTTTTGTATAAGTGCTCAGATTGGGATGTATATACATCCATCTCCATACCTACTGAGAATCCTGGATAGAGGATTATTATTTTTAAAAGCTTTTTTTTTAATATATTTTTTTAATTTTTATTCATTTATGATAGTCACACACAGAGAGAGAGAGAGAGAGAGAGAGAGGCAGAGACACAGGCAGAGGGAGAAGCAGGCTCCATGCACCGGGAGCCCGACGTGGGATTCGATCCCAGGTCTCCAGGATCACGCCCTGGGCCAAAGGCAGGCACCAAACCGCTGCGCCACCCAGGGATCCCTGGATAGAGGATTAAAATATATTTTTTCAAATATAAAATAACAGCTTAAGTTTACCGAAATACTGTGAAGTTAATACGGTTAATACCCAAATCCGGTTTCCCCATTTATGTTAGTATGGTACATAGTTTTACAGTCAGTTTGAATCATACCATTTACAGAATTTTGAATCCTCACCTTTTCATTTTACAGTATATTGTAAGTATCATTTCCACTTAAAATGTGGAACACGAATAGTGATAGCAAGGTACTCTAGATATTACCTGTGCCAGCCACCTCATTTATCAGATGAGGAAATGGAGGTTAAGACCAGACTATGGAATGAAAGTACAGCTGCAGGCACCCATCCCCAGGTCCATGAGTGTAATGTGGCTGCTTCTTACCTATCAGGGAGATGTGAGGATGTAGGGAATAGTTCTTCATGAATTCAGTCAACCAACCAATAGTCACTGAATGCCGACTGAGCATCAGATTATTATTGGGTTGGTGCAGAAACAGTAATACAGCGGTCACTCTCTACTCTCCAGGAATTTATGTTATAAATGTTTTTGGGCTGAAATCACAGAATAAAAGGGCACTGAGTTTCTGCTTTCCTTCAGTGAGGCAGGAAGGACAAAATGTATGGTGAAATGGTAGCAGAACATGATTTCAGAGAATTGTTGGGGTAGGCTGATAATGGCCCTCCTTAGATATCTATATTCTAATCCCTGTAATCTGTGAATGTTACTTTACATAGCAAAAGGGGCTTTGCAGATGTGATTAAGGATCTTGATTATACAGGATTATCCAGATGGATCCAATGTAATCAAAAGAGTTCTTATATTACAGATAGTCCCTGACTCACAGTGGTTGGACTTACAATTTTTCAACCTTACAATGGTGTGAAAGCGATATGTATTCAATAGAAACTGTGCTTTGAATTCTGAGTTTTGATCTTTTCCCAGCTAGTGATATGTGGTATGATACTCTCTTATGATGCTGGGTGGTGGCAGCCCCAGCTCCCTGTTGACCAGGTGATCACAAGGGTAAACAACTGATACACTTATAACCATTTTGTACCCATTTGGCCATCTGTTTCTCACTTTAAGTACAGGGTTCAATAAGTTACATGAGGTATTCACCACTTTATTATTAATAATAAATAGGCTTTGTGTGTGATGATTTTACTCAACTGTAGATTAATTCAGTGTTCTGAGCATGTTCAGGGTAGGCTAGGATGAGATACAATGTGCAATAGATTAGGTGTAAAAATGAATTTTTTACTTATTTTCAATTTATGATGGGCTTATTGGGACATAATCTCATCATAAATTGAGGAAGATCTATATAGGGAAGGAGGCAGGATACATGACCAGAGGTGCAGATGGCAGGGATGGGTTACTGGCTGCAAGCTGTGGGATGAAGAACATGGGCAGCATCTAGAGGCTAGAAAAGGCAAGGAAGAGTCTCTCCTAGAGTCTCCAGAAGGAATGCAGCCTTGCCAATGCTTTGATTTAGCTGCTTAAGACCCATTCTGAACTTCCGACCTCCAGAACTGTAACGGAATAAATCCGTGTTGCCTTAAGCCACCAAATTTGTGGTGATTTGTTACAGCAGCAATGGAAACTAATGGAGTTGATAAGCTGACTACTTTTTATAAGAAGAAGAAAGTATTAGTATGATATTTTAGGATTACAGAATATTAACCTCTAAGGTTCAACTCTGCTCTCTCTAGTCCAATAGCTTCATTTTCTTAGAGGAAACTCATGATGAAAACGAAGTATCTGACAAGCTTCTCCTTATTCAAACTCATTATTTTACTTTGGCTTTGAAACCATATATGTAGCAGCATGATTCATAACAGTCCTGAACTGGAAACAATCCAAATGTCATCAATACTAGAATGGAAAACGCATTCCCTATCTATTCCCACAGTGGAATACTACATAGCAATGAGAATGTATGAACTACAATTACTAGGAATAATATGGGTGAATAACATGAACTCATGTTATTGTTGAGTGAAAGAAGATAGATAACAGAGTTAATACCATATAATGCTATTTACATAAGTTTCAAAAAACAGGCAAAACTAATCTATGATGTTAACAGTTACACCTTGGAGAGAGACAAAGGCTGGATAACGACAGGGAGGGGGAAGGATGGAAGCTTCGGGATTCTGGCAATGTTCTGTCTCTTGATCTCAGTGCTGGTTACATGGGTGAGTTCATTTGGTAAAATTTATGTAATTTGTACAAACTTCTGGATGATATACATCAGTAAAAAGCTTCCTTAAGATAAAACCATATGAATAGGTGCTCCCAATGGTTGTTTTAACAGTAGCTTAATATAAAGAATCGAGATTTTCAAGGGAAAACAGTGATCGAAATTCCTTGCTGGAGAACCTTCTTGGATTCATTGCCCAAAAAAGGAACCAACACCCCTCCTTGACTTTAGAATATTGGATTTAAAAATTTGTTATAAACCATTTGAAACACTTACTTTATGCTGTACTTATTAGCCTTACTCTCCTTCTCCCCCCAGAACACATTATTTTCAAGCTGGTGTTTAAAAATATTATTTAGCAAAGAAGAAGTCAAACTCTCCCTCTTCGCAGATGACATGATACTGTACATAGGAAACCCAAAAGACTCCACCCCAAGATTGCTAGAACTCATACAGCAGTTCGGCAGTGTGGCAGGATACAAAATCAATGCCCAGAAATCAGTGGCATTTCTATACACTAACAATGAGACTTAAGAAAGACAAATTAAGGAATCAATCCCATTTACAATTGCACCTAAAAACATAAGACACCTAGGAATAAACCTAACCAAAGAGGTAAAGAATCTATACCCTAAAAACTACAGAACACTTCTGAAAAAAACTGAGGAAGACACAAAGAGATGGAAAAATATTCCATGCTCATGGACTGGAAGAATTAATATTGTTAAAATGTCAATGTGACTGTGACCCAGGGCAATTTACACATTTAATGCAATCCCTATCAAAATACCATGGACCTTCTTCAGAGAGTTGGAACAAATTATCTTAAGATTTGTGTGGAATCAGAAAAGACCCCAAATAGCCAAGGGAATATTAAAAAAGAAAACCATAGCTGGGGGCATCACAATGCCAGAT